AAAGAAAATTGTGTAACGATCATATGTCTTGGGATATACATATAAAACACCTCTACAATACGGAAGAGAATCTTACTGTAGTTGTAGTAAATTAAAAAAAGAACAATTTAATATAGAACAAGATATAAAAACTAAATCTAATATATAGCCTATTGTCTATATTAACTAAATTCAATTATACCCTATATCCAATATTGTTTCAAGAACGCTGGCTGCATTCTACATAGCTACTATATAGTTCCATCTTTACTTACACCATTGACTTTTAATTAACTTTTTTTTTTCAAAAAGCAAATTAGATCATTCACAATCAGTTCTGGAATATGGATAGACAGAGACGGTGGGATTTCTTGTCAAGGCAGGGGCACAAAATGCCCACGGCAAGTAAAACTGCTGGCCCCAGCTCAAGGAGATACAATACATTAACATGGACTCTTAATGAGTTCAAAAATCGCAAAACATTTTTTTAAATACCTTATGATTTAGCAGGAAGCAGTCCAGGCTGTTCTAAAGCATAATCACTTGACTCAAAATAACAATCCGAAAATCAGTGTTACTCCTGATCCTAGAGGTCATCGCACACCTTATAATGCTTATCCTGCAGAGAACGAAGATGAAATGAAAAAATTTACATTAAAATAATATAATTTACCTACTAACCTTATGCCCACACACTCTATAATATAAATTATGGACCAAACAGAAGATATCTTACAGTAGGTGTGAATTTTACATTTACAAAAAAATTCAACAATATCTGCTTACAGAAAATTGGCACATTTTCACCATATGATAAAACATCTTAATCTTTCTACAGCATAACCAGCTCAAGATATTTGCACAAAATGTAGAAACCATGAGTTAGAACATAAAATATTACCTCTATATCGTGTAATTGTAATGACTGTATAGACTTAAGCAAACATCTCGAAAACAAAAGAGAATCAAGAAGAGATTTGAAATCAATAGAAGAAAAGTATGAAAATTCTGAAGGGCGAGACATGCTATATACTGTAGATATGCAAAAAGCTATTTTTATGCCACTGTTGACTACAAAAGAATACTTTTTCTCAAGAAAACTCATACTTTTCAAGGAATCTTTTGTGCCCCCAGGAAAAAACAAACAAGCTGTCGGTGCAGTTTGGCATGAAGGAGAAAGTGGTAGAAAAGCTCATATTATTGCTTCTACACACATTCATTTTCTCAGAAAATATTGCAGAGATCTAAATTCTGTAACGTTTTTCGTAGATAACTGTAATGCACAAAACAAAAACAATATACTTTTGTCTGCTTTGATAGGAGTAATAATAATAATAATAATAATGTCCTCCAGACCGATTTTCGGCCACGGCGGCCTGCCTCAACGGAGACTAGCCATCGGCGCAGGACAGGATTATAGTGCCCAAGTGTATGCGCAAGCACAGGTGCACTCTCTATTCCCTCACTCTCATAATCCGATGGGACGGTAAACCGACACGACCGGAGAGAAATCAGACGCAGGACTAACAGCTTTACGTGCTTTCCGAGGCACGGGGTTGAGACACCGCCAACTTCCTGACTACGGGCAACTACTGACAATTTCTTGACAGAAAAACTTAATAATTGATTTTTTGGCCCGACCCGGAATTCGAACCCAGGACGTCATGATCAACAGTCGCACTACTACAACCGCTAGACCAACCAGGTAGTCTTTCGATAGGAGTAATTAATGATAGAATGAAATAGACTAAAATGACCTCTAATAGATAATTATATTGTGTGATAGTTGTGAAATATTATTATTATCGAATACTTTGAGCCAGGATACACTTTTATGGCCGCAAATGGTGTGCATGCTGCAATTATAAAGAAATTGAAATCTAAGGGCCAAGTCTACGATACAGATGATTTGAAACATGCAAGTCGATTTATTAGGTCACAAACAAATGATCATATTCAGTAATGATTCCAAAGCAGAATTTCCCAAAGGGTATAAATATATACATAACCTGAAAGTCATAGAATTCAGAAGAAATGAATTAACAATATTTGTCAAGAATGGTTATAACACAGATTTTAAAGAGATATCTTTTTTGAAAAAGAAAATAGAACTTGAATTGCGGAAAAAAGATTACAAAGGGTGTAACTGATCTTTTGGAAGAGATACCTAAAGAGACCAAACCTAGTGATATTAGCGAGACAAAAAAAAAACAGTTATTAGCACTGTGCAAATCAATGTCTCAAACAAGAATAATGTTTTATGAAAATCTTATTGTCCCGGATTCACCCGATCTTGACGAACACATTGACACTGATTTAATATAATGTCCTCCAGACCGAATTTCGGCCACGGCGGCCTGCCTCAACGGAGACTAGCCATCGGCGCAGGACAGGATTATAGTGCCCAAGTGTATGCGCAAGCACAGGTGCACTCTCTATTCCCTCACTCTCATAATCCGATGGGACGGTAAACCGACACGACCGAAGAGAGATCAGGCGCAGGACCAACGGCTTTACGTGCCTTCCGAGGCACGGGGGCGAGACACCGCCAACTTTCTAACTCCGGGCAACTACTGAGAATTTCTTGACAGAAAAACTCAATAATTGATTTTTGGCCCGACCCGGGATTCCAACCCAGGACCTCATGATCAGCAGTCGCACTACTACAACCACTAGACCAACGAGGCAGTAGATAGACAGGCAGTGATTTAATAGAGTAGGTCCTCAAAGTAATTCATAGACTGATTACTTATAAAACCTTGATCTTATTATTAAATTGTTCCATATTTTATTTGCGTTGTCAGTGTGTTAATGTTAAGTTTATTTTTGTTTGCTTCAGTTTTTTTTTTTTAACTAAGATTTGATTCGAAGAGATAATGATGATCTATTTGAAAAGTTAAACTACACTAAAAAGTTAAGCTTTTGTGAATTTCGTATTTTCATTCTTATGTCACAAAATATTAGATTAATATTTAATATTTCGTGTTCTTGTGACTTGATTGATATTTTTTTAAATTGTTTCATTGATTCATTTTAATTAAATTAAAACTTAATTACTTAAGGCTTTAATATTTTTTCTTTTTATTTATTTTTTAATATACATTGAGTTTTATTGTCTTTGACCTAAGATTGAACGAGCAGAATAAACTATGTTATTACAAACTGTGTTTAGAATTGTTAATGTTCTTTCGGACGCCTTATTAATGCGTATTATTGTTAAAGTAATACACTGTATTTGAAAATACAGTATTTTTGTATGATCCATTAGCTCTGTTTTCATAAAACCAATACACTGTAACCAAACATCCAGTGTTTTGCTCGCACAATGGAGAACATTTCTTCAAATTTTATAGAGACAATACACGTTTACTTATTTAATTCTAATTGTATAAATAGAATGGTTGTAAAATGTACATGGTTAGATAAAACGTAAACATACCTATAATTTGGTACCTAGCACATATTATAATGTTATAATAATATTACTAAAACATACCAAAAAACAAAAAGTTTTAAAAGCCCTTTTCACGAAATAGGCATTTCTGAGATACAGTGTTTTCGATTCACGTCAGATGGGTGGTCTATGTTATTTTGCAGAAGACGTATACGTAATATGCTTGGCTAAGAAAAAGAGATCATACGTAATTTAATACGGCAAAGCGTTGGAAGTACTGCCTCTTAATTTTTTTTTTTTGCGCCCGAAGCAAATATGGGCAACCCTCCGGAAAACGGAGGAATGCTCATACATCCGCAGAAACCCACTAAACCCACTGGACTCTAACGGTCAACAGAGATCTCAGCCTCCTCCTTGGCAGAAAGGAGGGCGCAAGCGGCGAAAAGCCGCTTAGACAAGTGCCTAACTAAGGCAGATTAAGGGATGTGTTATGTAGGCTCGGCCTGAGCCACCAGGAGGCAGTTCAGGTCAGCCGAAAGCTTGTAGGGGGGGGTGAATCCTGAATGGTGCCTTTTAATATGATTTTAGTTCTATATGAACGTAACAATGTATTATACTGACCATTGTAATTTAATTCAATGTATTTAACACATATTGATGTGAATTCTAGCTTTCTGCACTCCTTCTCTACATAAATTATTTTTCTGTTTTTCTTTTAAAAAAAAATGTTACCTCTACACTAGGATTTTCTCCTGTATCGTGAGAGCAGTTTACAAACATAAATTGCACAAGAACAAACATCCAGACCCGGAAAAATTATTCGTAGGCCATACAAATACTTGTTCCGTGCGGGATTCGAATCCGCGACCCCCAGCGTAGCCACTCATTGCTAAGCCACTGTGCCACGGAGTCGTCAAATTATGACTATGTAAAATCCCACATTTCTCCGTGCACGTAAAATGCTTAAGAAAATTTAAAGGTTTTGTCTTCATGTGTTAATATATAAATGCGGAAGAAAACATCGTGAGGAAACCTGCATACCTGAAAGATAAAATATTTCGAAGGCAGTGAAGACCGCCAACGCACTTGAAAAGCGCGATAGACAACCTCAGGAATGTGAGAACTCTGCCCATCAGTGGAGTGTATATATGCTGGATTTGCTTCTTAATATAAAAGTGCGACAAACAAACAAATAATCCACCTGATGGTAAGTATATTAAATTAGTTAAAATACAGATGCGTTGACAGTTCTGAGCACTATGACGTTAAGCCTCTATTCCAGTAAGAGGTCTCTGGTGGTCTCTAATTAAACGATAAACGCAGCATAAAGCTGCTATTTTACGCTAGTATTCTTCTAATATACTAGCGTATTCTCACAGAATACTAGCGTAAAATAGCAGCTTAATGCTAAGCACGTTCATACCCCGGTCGAAACGAGCCATTCGTGCTACAACCATAAGATAGCAGCCACACGGCTACCAGCTACCACATACAATATGTGTATAATGTGCTCTGGGTCTATTTATACGAGACTTACTTACCAGTAATTAGTCTTAGCACTTGAAGTACCAAGCACGAGGTCTATATTTTCATGTAGTTACACCCCATAGTTACAAGTAACTATGCGCTATGAGTACTTGAATACCATATAAAAGGATTTGATCCGTTCAGAATAAACGTCCTTTCGTGATTTCAACCCCTCTTTGTCCATTTTCTCTTCCATTTCCTTCCTCTCTTCTAAGCACGAAGAGTAGAGCGCTTCGTCAATTCGAATTTAGATCTAATTCATATTTTATGTCAGGTTCTTCACAAATTTTGAAGGTCACAAATTTGAAGCCAAGAGCAACTCTGCAACCTTTCTTTCTGATGGCCTCCGCTGATGAGTTGTCAAGAGACACGGTCACCAAAAACCCGTGCACTTCTTCACAATATTGAAGGATATTCCACAGCTCAGTGTTCAGACCATCATTCTGTACCCTTATTAGCTGAAGACCCTTTTCGGGAGATTCCGCTTCGCTGCGTGGCAAAAATATGGTTCCAAATTGAAACTGGGGTAATTCGTTCTCCGGTATCACAGAGAGCATAGCCTGTGGCCAGGGTTTCAGATTGTCAATTTTCTGAACAATCCAGTCCTGGCTAACCTGGTTAGCACAGTTGACCAGGATCCAGCCCTCCATGTGAATGAAGCCAGTAAACCGTGGTCCTGCTCCTTTACGGTCTATTTTCATGATGGCTCGATTGAGTGCATAATGAACTGACTGCATCTGTTCCTCACTCATAGGCTTCGAGTTACGGATACCTATGCGCAAGAAGGTAGCTATCTCTGTGTCTTCTGAATCAATGTTTACAGAAACATCTTCCTTTAATCTGACATCCAGTGGGTCCGTTTGTGGTGTTGAAGCTGTAACGAAAATGTTAGTATTACATACATATGTTTGTAAAATCATTTGGATAATACGTAAAAGGTGATAAAGAAACAATGAACAATTGATAGAATCAGGCGTTACTTTACGGAAATTCATTATAATAAAGATATATAATATTTAATTCGCAACCATCCGCTCAATTAAATACAATGATGTGTCTTACTTGAATTGAAGAGTAAAGTAAGTCAAGTGAGTCTTAGCGGTCAGCCGCCGTAGAGATCACCTGAAGATGACTCGTGTAGAGCCGACACACGTGTCGTATTATCGTCAATGGTGTGTCTTTCCTGGAATAGTGGTGTTTGGAGTAGCGGTGTTGGGAGTAGTGGTGCTGGGATTAGTGGTGACGCGATTAGTGCACGCAATTGAGGGTGAGAACCAGATGACAACAGGAAGCAGTACTGTAATTGTCAATTTGACCAAGCATATTTTACTTAAATTAAAGCAAATTCGTCTTGCAATAAAATATATTGCAGGGCGATGAATGATGATTTAAAGATGTTTTGATTTCGTGACTTCTTACCGTTACAGTGTGGTTCGTTATCCAAAGTATTTCTTATAAATATTTTATAATGCTCTGCTGTCGAAACTGGAGTTGTGGGTGAGCTCACTTTTAGCGCAGATGCTGAAATTTAAAAAAGAAATTAAGAAGTACATGTTATACATAATTAATGGTACAGAAAAGAATATCCTTCAACTTTACGTGAAATAGTCTGAGAAAAACTTTTGTAACACAGAGATGACAGACTCCAAGATGATTTCCGAGTGATTTGGCACAAGAAACTTAACCATCTTTCATCTTAATCCTCAGAGATGACAACGCATATGTATTTTGATTCTTAATTGAGGAAAAATGTAGATGTCTATGGGCCACAGCATCCGCTTACCATCAGGTGGACTGTGTGCTTGTTTGTCGGTTTGGATTTAAAATAATAAGGCACTAGGCACTAAAATATTATAAATAATAAGGTACACTAGGCAATTAAAATTATATGTGTTACTATGGAAAAAATTCATGTTACGAAGGAAACCAGTCAATCAAAATGGAAACGAATCACTCACAATTAAAAGTGAACTAAATACATTTAGATTTATAATGGAGAGTAGTTCAAAACGGAAAATAATATTTAAAATATAAAATAATATAAAATATTTCAAAATTTTGTGTATACCAATTTTTGTAAACGCTATTAATATTGATATTTAAAAGGAAATATACCCTCAGATTTTGTGCTTAAAAATTTAATTTTGAAAATTAAAATGTAGGAATATTAGGGATTTCGCTTTTAAAAAGTCAAGAACACAGTATTTCGGCCATTAAAGGCATACCTACAAAACTGTGACTATTTTACTTCAAATAAAAAACAACATATGTACATTGTAAATTCAGGCTTTGAATATAATTTCGAAAATTGAAATGTAGGAATAAACACTCACGCCTGTCACCCAGAGGGGTAGGCAGAGACTACGGACTTCCATTGGGTATGATCCTGACATACCTCTTTCGTCTCCTTTACATCCATATATGCTCGTCGGTTAAGGGTACTTCTAATGTGACCCATTTTCAAAATATCGCCAATTTGGTCGATAAACTTTCTTCTAGGGCGTCCCTTCCCGACTCTGCCGTTCACATCTGCCATATAAATTTGCTTTGTCAGTCTTTCCTCATTCATTCTTTCTACATGACCAAACCACCAAAGCATTCCTTTCTTAATCCCGGTCACAACATCATCTTGCATACCATATTTATTTCTTATGACGTAATTTCTCACCCTGTCATTCAGATTCAATCTTAGCATAATCCTTAAAAACCGCATTTCTACAGCATTTATTCTACTTGCGTGCTTATGTAGGAATATTAGAGATTTTGCTTTTAAAAAGTCAAGGACACAGTATTTCAGCCATTAATGTCTACCTTCAAAACTGTAGCTATTTTACTTCAAATAAAAAACAACATACACTGTAAAAAACTAAGACACCATTTGCTATTAAAAACCTAGGTCACCAAAATGCTAAATCCGACACTGGATAAATGGATTGGACAGTATACAATCTCACAAAATGGAAAATTTACAATCATATGCTAAATCATATGTGAATCATGCCAGAACCTTATACATTAAATGTTGTTTTTTAAATACATATGTAAACTAACTAGCTTTTAGATGTCAAATTCAAGAATCAATCACTTATAATGATATATTAATCAAAAATGGGAGTAAGAAATTAAACATTAAATAGCCTAATGTTACCTTATAGCATTTTTAATAATAACCCATCTTTGTATAATAAATTTACATTACAAAAATTATTCTGACATTTATCATATTATACTTATCTTTAAATACAATAGTATTTTTTCTATAAAATAAGGGAGAACAATGGTCAACACACTCCACCCCATAGTATATGGATGCTGTATATGCATAGACATATACATCTAACCTCAAGCAGTACAAATGGGTCGGCCCAACCGGGGAAAGAGGACTCTTACAGAATACCATCATAAAATAGCAACTTAATGTTGCTGTGTTTTTCGTATGGTGAGTTAAATATTTATACAGTGCATTGAATTCAAAAATAAAGATTAAATAACAGCATAATGTTGTTCAGAACTTTGAGTGAACATTTTAGCATTTCCCACATTAATTCACGAGGTGATATAATGGGTTCCCTTATCATTGCCACAACACAAGGCAAAAATTAATCAGTAATTTCCTAGTAATTTTGTTAAATAATGGTACTTGGCTTAGACCCTCACCAGAACTAATGGAATTTTAAATGCTGATTTACAATGAGCGTATAAAGGAAATCATCTTGAGGAAACTTGCACATCTGATAAATTAAGAAATATCGATGACAGGTGAAGTCTGCGCGGCGGACTTTTCCTCGCTCCATGAAACCACCAAAAATGAAAAGAGGTTGTGCCCAGGAGTGTGACTGTAAGCATGTGTGTATATAAGCTGTAATTTTACTTTTAAAAGTTTGTAAGGAAACCTGCATGTCTGAAAAATTAAACATTTCTAAAAGTTCAATTTTACTTTATTGTTATCCTCATAGAAATCATATATATCACGTATCATCAGAAAGTTTAAAAATCAGAAAGTCACGTATAATCGCGACTGCTCAGCATGAGGTCTCGATTCGGTCTCGGTTCGAAACCTAAGGTCGGGACAAGATCAGTTTTTGGATCTTTCGAGCCCTAAGTCAAGAAATCGGCAGTGTGTGTTTCACCCCCATGCCTCTAAAAGCGCGTAAAGACGTTATTCGTATGCCTGATTTCTCTCCGGTCGTGTCAGATTGGCTTACCACCGGACTACGAGAGTGAAGGAATACCTAGGTTTTCGCACACACTCATACACTACTACAAGCTTGTCCTGCGCAGATTTTACACATGGTAGAGCCATGCTGCAGTTATATTAGTAGTATAGTTGTAGCACGAATGGGTCGGTTCAACCGGGGAAGGACCACGCTCTCACAGAATACCAGCGTCAAATAGTAGCTTAATGCTGCTGTGTTTCGTATGGTGAGTGTAGAAACCGGAGACCCTTTTTACTGGAAACGAGGCATTCCACCTAAGTTCTCACAGATGACAAAGCACCTGCATTTTGATTCGTAATCGAGGATAGATGTAGATGTCTATGGGCCACAGCAACCACTCACCATCAGGTGGACTGTGTGCTCGTTTGTCATCCTATCCTATAAAAATAAAAAAAATAAAAAAGATAGCGTCTCGTTAAGACTGAGCGCCGCTATCGAAATTCGGTCCGGAAGACATTATTGTTATTTGTAACGCCAAGTGTAAATCTTGTCATACTATTAGGATTTTTTTAAATAGAATAAGGATGACAAACAAGCACACAGACCTGATGGTTAGTAGATACTGTGGCCCAGAGGCATCTACATTTGTCCTCCTTGATTAAGAATCAAAACACAGATGCGTCGTCACTCCTGAGGACCAAGATGGAGTGCCTCGTCTCCGTTAAAAAATGTTCTCTGGATCTATGCACTCACCATACGAAACACAACAGTATTTTAGGCTGGTATTCTGTGAGTGCCGTCCCCCCCCCCCCCGGTCGAGCCGACCCACTCATGCTACAACCATAATATAGCCGCAGCGTGGTCCTACCACATCATATGATTGTAGACTTGTGAGACTGAATCTTATTATAAAATAGAAGTGACAAGCGAGAAAAACTAAATGATCGACAACTGTAACCTACTTTAAATAAATAAGAGGGCTACAAATTTATGGTCACGTCAAGGGATTAAGATAGAAGAAAAAAGAAAATATAGCTTGGAAATAAACTTGATCGCAATACACTTCACACAGAAACACAACAGTGCACTACACTGCTTGGAAACAGAAATATTAAGTAATTAGTAAGTAAAACTCAGATGGATTTCTAAGCAAAAAAAGTTTATCGTTTATATCCATCCATCAATTCACCCATTCCATCCATACATCTTTATACGTGCTAGAGCCACACTACAGCTATATTATGGTTGTAGCACGAATGGGTCGACTCGACCGGGGAAGGACCATGTTTTCACAGAATACACTCACTATACTCTGGATGCCTCCAGAGGCATTCCATCTTAGTCCTTAGGGATGACAACGCAACTGCGGTTTGATTCTTAATCAAAGATAAATGTGTATGTCTTTGGGCCACACATCCACTTACCAACAGGTGGATTGTGTGCTCGTTGGTCACTCTTATTCTAAAAAAATACATCCTTTGCAGCCTAAAAAGTACACCGCTGAACATAGGCAATAGTTGTCACACTTTTATTATTTTTAGCTGTTATTAGGAAGATACTATATACCCATGTCTCGTTACATTTCTCTCTGTAACTTCCTATGTCACTCACGGGATGATTTGAGGTATAGGAAACTATTACGTCACCACCAAACGATACAAAATGGAAAAAATTAAAAGTTAAGGGGTTTATATTCATTAAGTTATATCTCCCTGGATCGGTTGTTATTGCGTAACTTCTGAACGACTTGACCGTTTGCTTGAAGTCATATTTACAAAAATGTGTTTTGACATGACAGTGGCAAAGCTATGTTAAGACCCAATCGGTGAGGCTGTAATCGAGTTGGCCTATGTATCTATTACAATGTGATAAAGAAATAAGAATTTATGTGTTATATTGTATGCGTAAAATCAAATCACACTTTGCATTATATTTGTAAAAACAGTCTGCAATAAACCATTAGACAATTAATACGTTGTTTACTTCTCTAAAGTGACATATAAGCAAGTTTGACCTGTCCATATAACAAGTTAAAGCACATTATGATTTTAAGGGTATAAAATTTTGATTTCATGACTTCTTACCTTTTGAAACTGGTTCATTACTCAAACAACTTCTGATCAATTTTTTATAACATTCTGCCGTTGAAAGTGGACTAGGCTGGCTCACATTTGGTGCATATGCTGAAATTAAATATTTATAATTTTAAAAAAGTAGATTAGTTTTGTACTAAGGCTTCGTCCTGTGGCAATGGCATTGGCAAAAAACAATGGCCTCATGGGAAAGTATTGATTAACGGTGGAGAATCTTTCAGAGCCCACTAAGTCTAGACAGAACCCTTATAAATATGACCATATCAATTAAACCAAACTTGGTAGTAGGTACTATGCTAATTTCATGTTTCTAATTTCAGAAGTTTTTTATCACCAACAATAAATCATCCAGTTCAGATATTTCACTTTATAAGTATAATTACAAGATTACAAAAATATACAAAATCTGACGATAAACAAGTTTAAATATTTTAATAAAGAAAAATTGTACAAATTGTTATTATAATATCAAAATTTACATAAATGAAAATAACCTCTGGGAATGAGGTGATCGCCACCATGCTGGTTCTATTAAAATTCCTTTAAAAATTGTTTAAACGAAATTATTGTAAAGTGTAATATGTTTTAAAAAAAGTCCGCTGGGTTTCTTGCTGGTTCTTTCCAGGACAGGAGAATTATATATATTTTAGAACCAGTAGTAAATAAAAAAATTACTTTCAATAAGTATTATGTAATAATCTATATTGCATAAAAAAATCATTAATTTCTTTCATTCAATCATTTCATTCATTTCATTTCATTTAATCAAAAACATAATAAGAATCAGACACTGACATGGAACTCACTTCAACATACACAATACATCTTCATCTATTCAATTTTATGTTGATAGAAGACAATACTTGTCAACACATACATTCTCTATTCATCAGACATAATAAATATATTTCTTAATACATTTACACTAACCTCTTTGGTGCTGAGGTTTGGACTTTTCACTAATGTGATATTCACCCTTTGAAGAGGAGGCCTTTGGCAAAGTTTCTGAAAAAATATAATGTATCATTATAATTGAGCAAAAGATGCCGATAATATTAAGTGACGGACTCTTAATAATTAAATACCTACTCAAAATTAAAACATTCAAGACTAAAAGAGTGCCTCTCAATAGCAATGGCACTAAAGTGTGTGTCCATTAGGGTTTGGGTCCCGGGATGTTCGGGTCGAAAATCGAGACGAGACAAAATTGTTGAAATTGTTATCATTTTTATTTTCACATAATTGAAGGCTCCTAACGCCATCTGTTAGTTAAATTAAAAAAGGAGTTTCAGTTGTTCAAATTTGAAAAAGCATAGGAAGTTTGGAACTATTGTATAAAGCCTTAAACACAATTAAACTGACATCTGTTGAAAACGAGAGTGTGTGTTCTCCTTGTCCTGTTGCATTATTACAAAAATCAGAAACAGATTGTTGGATAACGCTGTTGACTCTCTGATTTTTTTTAAAAGCCAATTTTATTAAATAAGCAAGAAGTCTAATTAATGTGTTATTGTGTTAGTTGATTATTTATATGGAGTTTCAGTTGTTCAAATTTGAAAAAGCATAGGAAGTTTGGAAATATTGTATAAAGCCTTAAACACAATTAAACTGACATCTGTTGAAAACGAGAGTGTGTGTTCTCCTTGTCCTGTTGCATTATTACAAAAATCAGAAACAGATTTTTGGATAACGCTGTTGACTCTCTGATTTTTTTAAAAGCCAATTTTATTAAATAAGCAAGAAGTCTAATTAATGTGTTATTGTGTTAGTTGATTATTTGAAAGTCTGATTCATAAGTCTGTTTTATTATTTTTATTCAGAATATTTAATTATGAAACAAATATGTGATTAGGATAATTAACAATGTTGTGATTATGACCAATGATTAGATACTAGAATTACTAGATAATAGTAAAGTTATTAAGAATTAGTATGTTTTTTAACTAAGTTTGTTTTATAACTATAAGATTTAACTGCTTAAAAGTGAATCTGGGTCTGATTAATAGAAATAAAAAAGTAAAAGACCCGGGAATTCCTTTGAAACTGATACTGTTAGAAATTATTATAATTATTTAAATAATATAAATAATTAAAAGAAAACTGATTGTATACTAAGTGGGAAGGACACTGCATATAACCAGGACCAAGCACTCCCAGCGTAGGCCAGGCATGAGAATAAGTATACTTAAGTAGGTAATAATAAGCATTTAATATAAATAAAATTACCTTTAGTAGCATGTGAAATTTCAGTTTGAATATTCATCACTGAAGAAACAGTTGAAAGCATTCCTAAAAATAAAGTGATATATTGTAAAATAATATAATTTATAACTTTTGTTATCCCATGAATCAGACTAGCTTTTAATTCTTATTCATATTTTAAAATGTACCTTCAGCAACACTTGCACTTTCTGAGTTGTCGCTATCCAAATCTCTATATTGTTGAGCTGAAACAATTTAAATTCATATGAATTCTTCTAAAGAGAAGCATAAGCTGTGGCAAAGCATTATGTTATTTGTTTTAGGAATATTCTTACTTACATAAATTTAGCTAAAAATTATTAATCTATGATATTAAAGGAACATCCACTACCCCATATCATCCCGTGAGAGTCGTAAAAGACGACAGAGGGAATTTGAAACTGATAATGGGTAGTAGCAACTTCCTGATAACAACTCAAAATAATAGAAAACTGCAGTTGGCAACCCGCTCACCAAGCGTGTCAACTATGGCATAATCCCTCCTATGAGACGATCTATGGGGGAGGCCTACGTTCACCACTGGACTTTCAAAGGCTGTAATGATGATGGAATATAGTTTACTTTTTTTATTATATTTAGGTTATTTGAAAATCAGCTTTTCAACCCTAAAAAATTCTAATGCATCTAAGGAGATGTCTTATTTGTAGTAGAGCCATGCTGCAGCTATATTACAGTTGTAGCACGAATGGGTCGGCTCGACCGGGTAAGCACAACAGTCTTACAGAATACCAGTTTAAAATAGCAGCTCAATGCTGCTATGTTTTGCATGGTGAGTGTAAAGAACCAGAGCCCCTTTTACTGGATACAAGGCATTCCATCTTAGCTCTAAGAGGTGAGAAGGTATCTGCATTTTGTCTGTGGGCCACAGCACCCACTTACGATCAGGTGGGCTGTGTGCTTGCTTGTCACCCTTATTCTGTAAAAAAAAATTGGAAGTTGTAGTCTAATTAGGGGTTTGAGCAGTCACAGTTTGTAAACAAATCACTTTATCATGTGGTTTTACCAGTAGGTATTACACCACTGAGTTTTTTTGGTATTACCATATACAATATTTGGCAAACTTGCCCGCCAAGTGTGACAAGTATTACGAGTATGGTACACTATAGGAAATGCTACTGCTGCTCATCACCTGTTTTCCTTCTGTTGCTTCTTATGACATGCATCGGATACAGGAATAGTGGATTTTCCTCCATCACCACTACACAAACAACTACATGTCCGCACTACATACATACAAAGAAAGCAAGCACACTGTACTATACTTACATAAATTTAAAGAAGGATAACTGTTAGCAGTAAGCCTTTTTCCAGCAGTGCGAAACTTTTGTTCAAAATGTCTGTCACAAATATAAACATTTCCTAATATATATGATGTTCCTTTTAGCTTTGTTTCTTCAGACAAAACCGCCAACCACATATTAAATCTAACTTCGTTAATATAGTTAGGTTTTGGAAATCGATGCATAGGCACTGAAAAACATTTGTTGCAAGTTAAGTGTTAAATTTGAGTTTAATTTAAAAAAAATGGTTATTCTTAAAACTTACCACCTTTTTCGGGTATTACAATAATAGTTCAGTGATTTACATAACATAAAAACATGAATATTAAAATAATACGGGTTTCATAAGGCACGTTTTATTTGCAAAATAAAACAATATTAGAATCTTCATTTAAGCAATAACTTACCATCCAGCTTACAACCAAAATAACAAAATTTTCTAGGCATTTCGTAGTCCAATGTAGAAGCAGTCGTTTTTATTATCTGAAAAATCAAAATCCGTAATGAATGCCCGTGTCGTTCTTAGCAGTGGAAAATCTAAGGTCCGTAAATGCCCCATTTGTTAACGCTGTACAAAATACAAATATCTAGTCCGTAAGCGATAACAAGTTGTTAAAATATAGGAAATAATTAAATAACCTGCAAGACTGCATCATACCCCAACCCCAAACAAATCACCATAGATTACGGAATATATACTAGATCACCACAATGTCATTCAAAAAGTACTCTGTTATGTCATTTATATATGAGTATGTTCCGAAATACAACGCAGTGTACTGTCCAATGCAAATGACGTATCATTTGACACTTTATTGTACTAGCGTGCCGCCGCCATATTGTGTCGGATATCCGGCCATAATAAAACAATTTTTAATTGTGTGTTTGCCAAATGAAGCATGCTAGAATTTGTTTCTATTTATTCAAATACAAAAAATTATAGAATAATTGAAGGTATATCCGTTAGGAGGATATAATGATTTTTGGAGCACAAAATTCGCCGTGTAGTGACGGTTGAGAATATCCACTACCCCATATCTTCCCGTGGGTGTCGTAAGAGGCGACAGAGGGAGACAGGCAGGAGATGGGCAGCAGAATCTTACTGATAACAACTGTGTTAAAATAAAAAACTGAGGTTGCCAACCCGCTCGCCAAGCGTGGCAACTATGGCAAATATCCCCCCATGAATAACGACGCAAAAAAACGGCCTCCAGTCCCCGGCGGCCCCGCTATTCCTGGCTACGGTGGCGACCATGGTAACGGCGGGGCAGGGGGTGCTAAGAATCTCCGGTGGAGGTTCGGTTGCCACCTACGAGGACTCGACCTGGCAACATATAACGCACGCACCCTGAGGACTGACGAGAAGATACTGGAGCTGGAAGAAGAGGTAGACAAGTTGCGCTGGCATATTATTGGATTATCCGAGGTCCGAAGAGAGGGGTAGGACACGGCAATCCTCGAGTCCGGCAACTTGTCCCATCACCGGGAGGGCGACCATCTTTCCCAAGGAGGTGTCGGATTTATCGTCCACAAGTCTCTCGTCAACAACGTTGTAAAGATTGGGAGTATGTCGACGAGGGTCGCGTACCTGATACTCAGAATCACCAAACGGTATTCGCTGAAGGTCATACAGGTATACGCACCAACGTTAGCACATACCGATGAGGAGGTGGAGGAAATGTATGAGGATATTTCTAGAGCCATGCATTCCTCCAAAACCCGCTACACGGTGTTGATGGGAGACTTCAACGCAAAACTAGGCACAAGAGGAAGCGGTGAGCTGAAGGTAAGGAAATTTTGAGTAGGGCAACGGAACCGAAGAGGCCAGCAGCTGGCCGACTTTATGGAGAAAGAGGGACTATTTATGATGAACCCTTTCTTCCAGAAACGGCTCCACAGGAAGTGGACCTGGTCGAGCCCCGACGGTTCGACAAAAAATGAGATTGACTTCATTATGACGACCAGACGCCAACTGTTCACTGATGTCTCAGTGATCGCAAGGGTGAAAACTGCCAGCGATCACCGAATGGTTAGAGGCACACTGAACCTAAACGTTAAGTTAGAGAGGTCTCGTCTGATGAAGTCAACGCTCCGTCCCCCTCGTGCTCTAATCCAGAATCCCGAAACCTTTCAGCTCGAGTTACAAAACCGCTTTCAGTGCCTAGAGGATTGCAATGCAGTGGACGATATGAATGACAAGCTCGTGGAAACTGTCCATGCGGTCGGAGCTAAGTTCTGCAAGACCCGCCGCAGAAGAACACAAAAAATCTCCGATCACACTCTTAATCTCATGGCTGTTAGACGGGAGATGAGGCTGCAATTGTCAACAGATTTGACAGCATACAGCCAACTGAACAGACAGATCTCCAAATGCATGCGGCGAGACTAATGCAACTTTAATACTGCTCATATTAAAGAAGCGATCGAGCGGAACCAGGGCTCCAAAGTCTTTGCCAGAGATCTGTCTTGCAGAAAGAGCCAACTGTCAAAGCTGAAGACTGAGTGTGGCAGCATCGTTTCCGAGACACCTGAGATTTTGAGTGAGATTGAGAGGTTCTATGGGCAGCTGTACACATCATCGTTGGAGCCACACGCAAGTGTGAGTAACGATCCAAGAGCAAGTCTTACCCGACACTATTCCGATGATTTCCCGGACGTCAGTCTGAGCGAGATTAGAATGGCTCTCCAGCACCTTAAAAACGGCAGGGCCCCAGGCGAGGATGGAATTACAGCCGAGCTTCTTAAAGCGGGTGTAACACCGGTACTTGAAGTCCTTCAGAAGCTCTTCAATTCCGTCCTCCATGGTGGCACTACTCCGGAGGCGTGGAGCAGAAGTGCGGTGGTCTTGTTCTTTAAGAAAGGCGACAACGCTCTCTTGAAGAACTACAGACCAATTTCCCTTCTGAGCCGCGTCTACGTGCTGTTTTCGAGAGTCATTACGAATCGTCTCGCACGTAGACTCGACGACTTCCAGCCTCCCGAACAAGCCGGTTTCCGAAAAGGCTTCAGTACCATAGACCACATACATACCCTGCGGCAGATTGTATAGAAGACCGAAGAGTACAATCTGCCACTTTGCCTGGCATATGTGGACTATGAGAAAGCCTTCGATTCCGTCGAAATTTGGGCGGTGCTACAGTCCCTTCAGCGGTGCCAAGTTGACTGTCGGTATATCGAAGTGCTGAAGTGTTTGTACAGTAGGGCTACGATGGCTATCCGAGTACAGAACCAGAGTTCGAAACCTATTCAACTGCAGAGAGGTGTAAGACAGGGTGATGTTATATCCCCGAAACTCTTCACCGCTGCGTTGGAAGACGTTTTCAAGCTACTGGACTGGAAAAGATACGGTATTAACATCAATGGCAAGTACATTACTCACCTTCGATTTGCCGACGATATAGTCCTTATGGCAGAATCGCTGGAGGACCTTAGCACTATGCTCAATGACCTCAATGGTGTCTCCCAACGGATAGGTCTTAAGATGAACATGGACAAAACAAAGATCATGTTTAATGTCCATGTCACACCTATGCCGGTAGTCGTTGAGAGCACTATGCTCGAAGTTGTTGACAAGTATGTTTACCTGGGACAAATAGTACGACTAGGTAAGTCCAACTTCGACCGAGAGGTCAATCGACGGATTCAACTCGGCTGGGCAGCGTTCGGGAAATTACGACACATCTTCTCGTCAGGTATACCTCAAACTCTGAAAACTAAAGTGTATAACCAGTGCGTGTTGCCAGTGATGACTTACGGATCTGAGACGTGGTCCTTCGCTGCTGGCCGTATGAGGACGCTCAAGGTCGCTCAGCGAGCTATGGAGAGGGCTATGCTCGGAGTTTCACTGCGTGATAGACTCAGAAATGAGGATATCCGCAGTAAAACCAGAGTGACCGACATAGCCCAACGGATTAGTAAGCTGAAGTGGCAATGGGCCGGCCATATAGCTCGAAGAACCGATAACCGATGGGGAAGAAAGGTTCTCGAGTGGCAGCCTCGTACCGGTAGGCGTAGTGTAGGGCGACCCCCCACTAGATGGAGTGACGACCTGGTGAGACATGCAGGAAGTCGATGGATGCAGGTGGCTCAGGACCGTGCTTTGCATTACTTGGGGGAGGCCTATGTTCAGCAGTGGACTTGTGAAGGGCTGTAATGAAAGAATGAATGAAGCTCACAAAACACTTTTTTCTCACTTGAACCAACTTGTAAACTCCTTAGATCGCTACGAACTGTCAAAGTTGTTTAGCAAAGAATAGTTTGCTAAGTAAAAAACTCGACACGGAGAAAGCGACAAACAATCACACCGCTTTGTCTCATTTCTATGCAAGACGTATGCATAAATTTATCTTTTTCGTGTGCGAATGCGAAAGAAGGCGTCAATTTGTCTATAGGTTTCTCTGCCTACGGACCAGAGAAAAAAGAAAGGACATGACATAAAGATCGTTAATTGTAGGGATGTAACGAAATATCGGCGTCTCTTTTAGCCTATGAGTATATACGTATGTAAAAAAGGAGAACAGTAGTTGTATCATTACCGAATATAACAACATGTTTTTCGCTGCGGCCGGGTGCCATGTTTTGTCACAGTCAATGACAACTATATCAGTTTGTCATTGCGACTTTAGTGAGGTGAGTGTGTTATTTTCATATGTTTCTCTCGTGGAATTCGATTAATACGAAATTTATAATTCTATTCCTCGGGACCTCTAAATCGGGATGAAAAGTATCCTATATGTTAATTCAGGAAATAAACTATTTGTATACGAAATTATTACATTCAAACTGGTCTGATACTTTTAGCGTGATTGAGGAACAAACAAACTTTTGCATTTATTATGGTTTGATTAGTGTGAGTATGATGACTGAGCCTAATTTATTGTCTAACAAACAAACAAAAATTCTTTAATTAGTATTTCTTGTTTAGTTATTTCCGGGAAATGATTGTAACATTAATAGTTATTATATAGTATATAGTTACATAATAAAAACAAAAAAAAACGACTGCTTAAAAGTAATAAACTGAAAACATAAGTATAACTTGTAATATATTTCAGTAATCTCCTTTTAATTTACTTTATTTTGATACCTCTATCGATAGGTTGAGTAAAAAAATTAAGGACCTACAATTTAGCACCAAAAATCCGTCATATTGATTTAAAAAAAACTTATCTGAAAACTCATGGGTGTTTGAGATGAATCGCACGAAAGAATCTTTTTCTAAATAAGCGCCACATTATCGATACTAAGTATAGTGCGCAGTACTACGTCAAGCCGCCATCTTCGTGCCAGACTCAGTTTAGGTACACAGGTTTTTTTCGTAGGTATCTCATGTCCTTTCTTTTTTCTCTAGTCAAAGTCCATGACACGAAACTATGGAGTGTAGAGGTAAGGAGTACAGACTCTGTAAAAAAAAGTGTCCGTAGGAAAGCGCTAAATAGGGGTAGCGCCACTGTAGCGACAGTCTAAATTGTAAAGAACTTTCATAATTTTATTATTGCACAGACTTTCAATATAACTTTTCACAATAATTTATTTATTACTTTCAAAATTTTTATTTTCAAAATCACTCTCAACGTATTTTACGGCGATTTATCATACCCCGTAGCTACTCGAGCGCTGTTGTGGAGAGTTTTTGAACTGTTATTTACTGCTTACGGATGGACACATTTTCAACTATTCTT